GTGTGTGTGTGTGTGTGTGTGTGTGTGTGGCAGCCGATAGTGAGATAAGCGCACTTATGTGGGTGCACTCTGTGGACGGTTAGGAGAGGTAAAGGACAGTGCAGTAGTAATGCGGGAGAGCACGGTGCAGTTATAGAAATGGATGAACTGAGGGGAGAGAGGAAGAAAGTGAAGTGCGTAGATTTCAAGAGGTTTTGAGGTAAGTGGAGGTAAATGCAGATCCAGTGGAGAATGACTCCACATGGGGGGAAATTTATCTCACGGGGTTATTATGGTCATACAGCACAGTGAGGCGTTACGGTGCATTATATGTAGTCATTTTAACTTAACGTGCACTTGACCTTGACAAACTGTTACACTTGAAAAAGCGCAAAGATCTCACGACTGTACCTTTGTAAACCATGTTGATGTTCATACACCACTGCCACAACGTGTTTTTAATCTATTTTGAAACAATGAGGAAAAAAAACTATTACCATCTTTGTGGCTGTAAATTTGGTTCACTGTAACTACTGTAAGTCCGCTTCCAAGTGGACTCTGGTGCGGTTCGGTTGTGGTGTGAAAGAAAACAGGATTTTATGATAAACTACTGTGGGATTTTGGCATTATTTTTAAAGATAAACTATTAATAAACTACTAATCTGTTCAGGAAAAAGTCGTATAATTTATCTGTATAAAACTGTTAAAACTGCTGTGCTTTTATACGACTGTGTACTTTGTCAGTTCACTAAGTCCGCTAAAAAGAGGTCCAACAGTTATAAGCCCAGAATAATTTCGCCCTACCCCGTTCTTTTATTATTAATAATTCAATTATTTCCTTGTGAGCTCTTCTCTTTGTGACACCAAAAGTACATGCTTTTCTCTTGGTCCGGACCAAGTGAACTGAGCAACAGGTGTGAAAGCAGCCCGAAGGGCGTCACATCGAATATTTAGTTAAGTACTGGAGAACTGTGGCTAATAAGTGCTAACACGCTACCCAGCTGGGAACATGACAGGGTTCATCGGTTAGTTTCTTTACACTATCCCCACTAAAGGGCCAATTACTGTCCCCTGGCATTTCCTTTCTAGAGATTGTAAATAATTTCATTTAATAAAGAGTTATTAAAGAGAGGGGGATAAAAGCTCTACTAGCTTGCGTTCTTGGACGCTAACAGGATGATAAGTTCACACTGTTTTATTAAAAAAACGCATGTCTAGTATTGTCTAGCATTGCCTAGCATTGTCTCCTGTCTCATAACCGTTAACTATTTCTCTTTTGTGTGGCGGCTTGTACACAGATAAAAGTGGACGGTGCTCAACAGCTACTTGGCTACGCTAGCTTCCTTCTTTTTGGACTCTTCCGGCTCTCCGTTCCCTCCAAGGTCAGCGCTGTCGAGACGGTTGTCGACTGTGCAAACTCATCACCAAAGCTGAACCTGACTGGATTCACTTCGCTCCCATAGCATCATCCCGTCATGGAAACTACGTAGAAACTAAGATCAGAATCTGAAACTTGATCAAAACGAATGTTAAGCTCCAATCAAAATCAGGACTTTTCTAACACATTACAAATTTGTCCAGAAGCCCTGTGAGCACCTTTCTGTTTTGTATTTTAAATTATCACAAGATCAGGCAGCAATTTAAATGTTTCTCGTGTTGCATTAAAAATATATATATACAGTTTGGAGGCAGGACAAAGTTGCTAATCCTCTCAGTGAAGGTCTCGCTTGTTTATGTAAATTACACCATTAGTCTGAGAATAACGGTGGTAATGATTTAGTGATCCTTTAATGCGAGAAGTCGCACCATTAAAACTAGTGCTAAGTGGGAGCATTGAGTGTAGGAAGGGATCCTTGTTCTCCCCGGTTATGTTGCTGCGGGGCATGGATCTACTACAGCATGTGCAGTGCTTCCTCATAATGGGGGAGCTCGTTGGTTTATGTGCTGCTTTGTTTACCTGCAGCGCCTCGAGGAAGCGAAAGGAGCCCAGTCGTCTGCCGCGGGGCACCAAACAGAAGGTGGAGTTGTGGAGCATCTCTTTGTAGTCGTACCTGCGAAGACACACAACACACACACACGTGGATAAGTTCACCGGCGCGGGCGAGAAGGTGTTATTTACGGCAACACTCTGAAAAATATGTGTGTAATTACAGGAGTACGTACAGCGCATGCATCACAGTAACTTGTTGTAATCAGCTATATAATGGGATAGTATATCACAGCTGAAGGAAATTCCATACTGAACGCGACTTGTGAAGTATCTCTACCCCGTGTGTACATGTATGTGCATAAGAGTGTTTGACACACCTCACAGGGACATTTTCTGTTTTTTATGTATGACAAACCAGAACACACACACACACACACACACACACACACACACACACACACACACGTAAGGGTCGTACAAAGGAGCCGGATGGGGCAAGAAAAGACGACCTTTAGTCAGATTATCTAAACTACTTTATTTCGGAGGTAAAATAAACGACAGCAAGTGCGCCCAGAATGCCTGTGATAATCCCTCACTCGCAAGCAAGTACAACGGGTCAAATTTTAACCTGGAAATGTAGTCTTTTGGAAGTTTACAACAAACAGTTTTGGGGGATAATGTTACCCTTCACCTTTGCTTTCTCCTCCAAATATGTTTGGGCAAGCTGGGGTTTGTTTGCAACCTGTCTCATTTCATCCAATGTCGGTCCGACTTTTTCTCTCTCTTTGTTATGACGCAGAGGCCCTCCCACATCTCAGCAACGTGTTTATTATGGATAGAAGCGATGGCCAAAACTAACACCAACGTCATCCAAATTGTCATAAATCTCCGGCTTTTGCTTCCGTTTCGTTTTCACCCAACAGCCTCTTCACCCATGAACTCCCATCCCGCCACGCTCTCCCCTCCTCCCTCCTCATCCTATCTCACAAACCATACGCACCATTTGCACACCGCCTCTTCTTTACTCGCTACCTTTCTCAACCCATCTATCTCCCAAAGCAGGAGGCCACTGCTCCCTCCCTCCCGCCCTCCCTCAGCCCCCCCCCCCCCCCCATCCCTCTATCTCTCCAGTGAGGTGTGTCTTATTGCTCTCCAAACAGGGTGATCAACCCTGCCAGGGGTAATGAGCTGAGAGTGACACCTGCTTCCACCACACAGCTGGCTCTGTGTGTGTGTGTGTGCCAGAGAAAGACAGAAATAGAGAGACAGTGTGTATCACTGCATCGGTCTGTTTGCATGCACGCTGCTTTTCGACGTGTTTTGACAGTTTGCTCGTACTGCTAAATATAAGCAATGATGCCATGTGTTAACAAGTGCTTCCTTCCCCCTCCGCTGCATGCGTGAACCCTTTACCAAGTCACCGAATGCCTCGATCTCACGGGTTCTCTCGATTATCTTTGCTTCTCCCGTCCCCTTCCGTCTGTACTTCGTCTCGCCTTCACGCTCCGCGTGCCGCTTTCTTCTAAAACGTGGATACAACATCTCCCCGTGTGGATTATTCTCTCTCATACAGACGCACGGCGCAGATAAATGCCACCTTAGAAGCTAACATGGCAGCCAACAGTGCAGAACAAGGCATCACAGTGTTAATGTGTTGTGAGGTCTAATTATTTTCTACCTTTTACATGTTTTCTCTAATAAAAATTAAAAAAAAAGGGAGCAGATCTGTTTGAGCTGTTTTTCTCACATATTTTATGTCACCATGCACCCAAAAGTTATGTTATCCGCCTGCAAGAAGACACCGATCACAACTTAGAGTAAACCAAGTCTGCTTGCGACAACGGGCTCAGAAGATATGTTTTGCTGTAGAAGAAAAGGGGAGACGGATTGGGAGAAAGCATAAATGAGATGATGCTCAAGAATAAAAACAGAACATTTTAAAACTACATTTAAGTGTCTATGCTGCCAAAGCCATTTTCTAAAAATATATTTAGATGTTTTTGTATTAATAACTCTACATATTAAACCACAATAAAATAAACTAAATGACACAGCAATGGTTGTTGAGTGAAAAATAATAATGAGCCCTGAGGGTTGTCCAGGTTTGGGGTTAAGAGACTGGTGAGGCAGAAAATCATTTCTCATTTAGCCATAGAATATACAAGGGGAAGGTTACAGAACGAACACACGCACACACACACACACACACACTCTCTGCTGTATTGATGATGCCGTGGATGTGCTGTAGCTTGTACAGAAGTGTGACAGCGAATGCTGATGCTGCCTTCAGTGTGTGTGTGTCTGTGAATATGGGCCGAGCTGACGGGGCAAAGTTGGAGGCAAAGCTCTTCGTTCACACACACACACCTACACACACACACACACACACACACACACTTGGTGGTGATTGCTGATGTTGACGGCGAGATGCCGCCTTGTCTCTTCTTCAGCGGAGCTCTAATGAAGTGCAGGGAGACTTGACAGCCGGTGATAAAAATCCCACCCTCATTCACACCTACATGCAGAACGTTCTGTGCGCCGCATAACGCAAGAGTCGTACGCGTAAACACACACACACACACACACACACACACACACACACACACACACACACGCACGCTCGCAGACACACGCACGTGAACAAGCGACAGCTGCACTCCCTCACATTGGCGTTCCGTCACCTGTCGATGGAGACGAAGGCGCTTTCTTAGCCCATATTTCAACACCAGCTGTCTGCCTGGACGGTGTCTGTTTGTGTGTGTGTGTGTGTGTGTGTGTGTGTGTGTGTGTATATGCAACAGCCCACGAAACAGGCCGCCATCTGATGGCCGTGAATATCAATGTGTGGATTTAACATGCAGCAGCCCGGAAAAATGAATAAATAAAAAAGCGTTTAATCTAACCACAGCGCTTCCTGTGTGTGTCAGATCTTCTGTCTCCTGCGTGCTCAACACAAATCTTTTCTATTTGACCTTTTGACCTTTTTTTTCTGTATTTTTTTCTGTTTCATAAGTAATGCAGGAAATCTATACCAAGCCTCTCAAAGCAGAACACCGGTTCACAGGATGCAAATTTTGGCAAGATGTCTCCTGAAAAAGTGGCAGTACAAAGCCTCCCACATGATTCACCTGCTGTGCATCCTCATCCCGACTCCGATGTAAAGAGAGGATTTTCTTTTAACCAGGGAGTGTTACTGAGATTTGAATGAGGAGGTCGCAGGAGGACGTCCTCTGCCCTGTGAACCAACCTTCACCTCCCTTCCTCCCTCCTCTCCTTCAGTGCCAACCTCCTGTTGTTTTTGCACGTTACGCTGGCTTCAGGGGGCCAAAACTAGCTTTCGCTATCTTTTTAATGCTTCTTCTCTACCTCCACTTCTCCTTTTTCTTGCTCCGTCTAACAACAGCTCCTTTATGTCCTTGTGACCTTGAGCTGGCGCCGGGGGAACCACAGCCGAGCTGCGGGAGCCTGCGGTGCTGTGATTGCGTGAGTTTGGTTTCTATATTTTTCTTGCATGCATGCGTGTGTGTGTGTGTGTGTGTGTCTCCATTGTATATATGGGTGTGCGCGCATGTGTGTTTGTGTGAGACAGATAACACAATGAAAGCAGGGTGAGAAAGAAACAGAGCGAGCGTGCGACAAAGGTGAAGCGACAGCCTGCCGGAATGGCTAAACTTAAATGGCAGAAAAACAAAGTCAGCGTGCAGAAAAATATGAAGCGGACAGAAAACTATGGGGCTCCGTGTAATAATGACCTCTGCGTGTGTCACCCGTTGTTTAGCACGCGAGGGTGAGTTTTGAGTGCACGTGTACGGCATGTACGACAACGGCTTCTCAGCGACATCCTACACGGTTGCCGTGGCAACTTGCCATTTACCGCCTTCACTTGCAGCAACTTAAGTACACGGAATGGGCGCTTCATCCACGCTACCAAGTGGGTAAGCGGGTGACAGAGGAGAGGGCCCTTATGGCTAAGTGATCTGAAGTATTCAGATTCTTTACTCAGTACTTATTAGTAGTCATAACATAATGAAGAAGAACCTTTAGTTACTGTTGCTTCAATAACACACATGAGGTTAACGGTGATAACAGAGGCAGATATATCATGCGATATTCATGATTATCTCGGAAATATTGGTCTTTTTAATCCACAAACAAGTAGATAGAATCATTTCTAGCCAACAATATTTGATCTATGGTTCACTTTTTAATGTTTCTTGCTGACTGGTTTTATAAAGAGAACCAAAAGGTGTCATAAATAATGCACTTTATGCCTGAACAAAATGCAAAATTGTCAGCATCCTCAACAGTCGATGATGCATGTGGAGGACCGGCCCAGCTGCCAGGACATTTTCTTTTGCATTTGTTTGTTTCTGTGAAACCCGGGATACGTAATAACGATGCTTCGGCTGTTGTTAATTTAAGCTAGTTACGTTGTTACTGTAGTTACGCTGTTCTCTCACGCAAACCATGATCTTATTTATAACCTTAACCAAGTAATTTTGTTGCCTGAACCGAACCAATCGCTTCGCAACGTTAACCGCGTGTCATTGTTCGTTTCTGCAAGCGAGAGACGAGGCTGATATGTAACATACTTATGTAACTGTTTTTGTTACAGAAAGGTCGACATTTGACAAATACCATGGTGTGTAGACATGTTCAATAAAAACAAATGGGTTGGGGAGACACGTGAAATAAGGAGCACCATTACTCTTGTATTGTGGGATCGCTCCACTTTACTATAGTAGAGTATCATTTTTTTTAAAGTACATTTCGTTCTGCGCAACCTCATTGGGATACTTACTATAGAAACTCTACTTATACAATACCACAGATATTAGAGTTTAGCATTATTGTTTCTACTCTCATGTTTCACTTACACAAGAGGAAATGGAGGGTGAGGGCTAAACGATGAGTTTGGGAAATGTAATGCAACCTTAATTTTCGCTGGGGTTGCTGCAGCGGAAACTAAAAAATGAAGAAGGGAGATAAATGTCACCTTGAACTCTGATAGTCTTAGCTCTCACACAGTGATCTTGATCAAGGCTTTCTGTAACATCACCCGTTACCTCACATACACAAATGTACAAATGATATCCTCGGCCTTGTTAGGATAGTGGTACT